GAACACAGTTTTTTTGTTTGTTTTTGTCAGTTGTGGGGCTTGAACTTAAGGCCTGGGCTCTATCCCTGAGCTTTTCTAGTCAAGGCTAGCACTCTACCACTGTGAGCTACAGTGCCACTTCTAGCTTTCTGGTGGTTCATTGGAGATAAGAATTTCACAGGAGGGGCTGGGAAGGTGGCTCAGTGGTAGAGCGCTTGCCTTGCATGTGTGAGGCCCTGGGTTCGATTCCTCAACACCACATAAGCAAAAAGAAAAAAGCGGGAAGTGGCGCTGTGGCTCAAGTGGTAGAGCGCTAGCCTTGAGCTGAAGAGCTGAGGGACAGCGCCCAGGCCCAGAGTTCAGGCCCCACGACCAGACCCCCCCCCAAAAAAAAAAATTTCACAGGAACCTTCCTGCCTAGGCTGGCTTTGAACTTCAGTCTTCCAGTCACAGCCTCCTGAGTAGCTAGGATAACAGGAGCGAGCCACTGGCGCCTGGCCACAGGTTCTTCTTCTTCTTCTTTTTTTTTTTTTTTGGGTCCGGTTGTGAGGCCTGAACTCTGGGCCTGGGCACTGTCCCTCAGCTCTTCAGCTCAAGGCTAGCGCTCTACCACTTGAGCCACAGGACCACTTCAGGCTTTTTTCTTTTTGCTTATGTGGTGCTGAGGAATCGAACCCAGGGCCTCAGGCATGCAAGGCAAGCGCTCTACCACTGAGCCACCTTCCCAACCTCCACAGGTTCTTATAGTAGGCACTCAGGGAGGTTTGCAGGCATCCTCAGCCTTGGCTACCCATTGGGGTTACCAGAGGAACTTTGGGCAGTCAGGTGGCACCCCAGGTCAATAAAATCAGAAAGCTCTTCCCGTGATTCTAACTCATAGCCAAGTTTACAGGCAGAACCACAGAAGTTGAATGCCCTTGACATGTGTGCAGAAATGCCTGGGAATCTTAGCAAAACACAGATACTAATTCTGTGGTCCGGTGTGAGGGACTGAGGCTCTGCATTTCTAACAAGCTCTGGGATCTGTGGCCATGTCAGGTAACTGAATGGCAACTTGGCAGAAAGTGGCTGAGACACAGGCCCAGATTATGGCTCTTGCGCCCTCTCGTGGTCAGAACTTTCCCAGCGGTGCCTGGTCAAAATCCTGTGGAAAAAAATACCCTCTATGCCAGGCATTGGTAGCTCATGCCTGTAATCCCAGCTACTCAGAAGGCTGAGATCTGTGAATTGTGGTTCATAGCCAGCCGAGGCAGAAAAATTCATGAGACTCTTATCTCCAATGAACCAGCAAAAGCCAGAAGTGGGGTTGTGGCTCAAGTAGTACAACACCAGCCTTGAGTGAAAAAGTTCAGGCAGAGCTAGGCACCTGCAATCTTAGCTACTCAAGACACAGTTCAAAGCCAGTCTGGACTTTGGACTCTTTGACTGTTATCTCTAATTAGCCACCAGAAAACAGTAAGTAGTGCTGTGCCTCAAAATGGTAGAGTACCAGCTGTGAGCAAAAGAACTCAGAGACAATGCCTAGGCCCTAAAGTCAAACCCCAAGAGTGACAACACACACACACCACACACACACACACACACACACACACACACAAGCTAAGCTAAACTAAGCTAAGCTAAGCTAAACTCAAGCCCCAGGAGAGACACAAGAAACAAACAAACAGGGCTGGGATGTAGCTCAGTGGCAAAGCGCTTGCCTAGCAAGTGCAACGTCCTGGGTTCGATCCCGAGTACCAAAAAAGAAAAAGACAAAAAAAAATAGTTTAAGCTGGGATCCAGTGGCTCACACCTGTAATCCTAGCTACTCAGGAGGCTGAGATCTGAGGATCGTGGTTCAAAGCCAGCCTGGGCAGGAAAGTCCATGTGAGACTCGTATTTCCAATAAACCACTAGAAAACCGGAAGTGGTGCTGTGGCTCAAGCGGTAGAGTACTCTCCTTGAGCTGAAGAGCTGAGGGACAGTGCCAGGCCCAGAGTTCAAGTCCCATGACCGATAACAACAACAAAAAAGTTTTTTTAAAAAGTGAGAAAACAAAACCCCCCCAAAGATACAGTTTGTGGAGTCCCCTAGAGTCCAGTCAGCTGACACCTTAACTTTGGTTTGTTTGTTTTCTGGTGGTTAATTGGAGATAAGAGTCTCTTTCTTGCCTGGGCTGGCTTTGAACCACGATCCTGAGATCTCAGCCTCCTGAGTTGCTAGGATTACAGGCGTGAGCAACCGGAGACTGGCTTAACTTTGGGTTTTTAATAAGTCAAGCAGAGCTGGACACTGGTAGCTCACAACTGTAGTCCTAGCTACTCAGGAGGCTGAGCTCTGAGGATCGTGGTTTGAAACCAGCCCTGGCAGGAAAGACCCTGGGAGACATATCTTTAATAAGCACTCAGAAACCTGAAGTAGTACTGTAGTTCAAGTGGTAGAGCACTAGCCTTGAGCACAAAGAAGCTGAGGGACAAAGAAGCTAGCTCCCAGGCCCTGAGTTCAAGCCCCAAAACTGACCATAACAACAACAACAAACTCACGCAGAGCCCATCCAAACCTCACTACCTCTTGACTCCTAAGATAATAAATGGATGTTTGTGTTTTGGTTGGCCATGGGACTTGAACTTGGGACCTAGGCAGTATCTCTGAGCTCTTTTGTTCAAGGCTAGTGCTCTACCACTTTGAGCTACAACATCACTTCTGGTTTGGGGAAGTTAGTTGGTGATAAGAGACTCACAGACTCTCCTGCCTGGGTTGGCTTCAAACCAGGATCTTTAGATCTCAGCCTCCAGAGTAGCTAGAATGACAGGTGTGAGCCACCAGTGCCCATTGTGGATGTTTGTGTGTTGTGTGTTGGTCCTGGGGCTTGAACTTGAACTCAGGGCCTTGAGCTATTGCTTGTTTTTTGTTTTTTTTCATTCAAGACTGGTGCTCTGCCGGGTGCTGGTGGCTCACACCTGTAATCCTAGCTACTCAGGAGGCTGAGATCTGAGGATCAAGGTTCAAAGCCAGCTCAGACAGGAAAGTCTGTGAGACTCTTTTTTTTTTTTTTTTTTTTTGGTCGGCCGTGGGGCTTGAACTCTGAGCCTGGGCGCTGTCCCTCAGCTCTTCAGCTCAAGGCGAGCGCTCTACCACTTGAGCTACAGCACCACTTCCGGTTTTCTGGTGGTTTATTGGAAATAGGAGTCTCACAGTCTCTCCTGCCCGGGCTGGCTTTGAACCGCGATCCTCAGATCTCAGCCTCCTGAGTAGCTAGGATTATAGGCATGAGCCACCAGCGCCCGGCGTCTGTGAGACTCTTATCTCCAATAAACCATTAGAAAACTGGAAGAGGCGTTGTGGCTCAAGTGGTAGACCGCTCACCTTGAGCTGAATAGTGCAAGGACAGCGCCCTAGCCCAGAGTTCAAGCCCCACAACTGACCAAAAAAAAAAAAGACTGGTGCTCTACCACTTGAGCCACTGCTCCACTTCCAGCTTTTCTCTGGTTCATTGGAGCTAAGAGTTTCACAGACTTTGCTGCCCAAGTTGGGTTCAGACTGCGATCCTTAGATTCTCAGTCTCTTGAGTGGTTAGGATGACAGGCTATATTTCTGTATTTTTTTGGGGGGGGAGGGGAGCCTGAACTCTGGGCCTGGGCGCTGTCCCTCAGCTCTTCAGCTCAAGGCTAGCGCTCTACCACTTGAGCCACAGTGCCACTTCCAGCTTTTTTCTTTTTGCTTATGTGGTGCTGAGGAATGGAACCCAAGGCCTCAGGCATGCAAGGCAAGCGCTCTACCACTGAGCCACCTTCCCAGCCCCATATTCCTGTATTAATAGGGCACATTTTTCACAATTAATGCACCAAGAATGATTCATTATTATTATTATTAAAATGCATGTTTTCTGATTTCCTGTTTACCTACTGTCCTTTTTGTATCCTGCTTTCCCACTCATCCAACTTGCCCTTTAAACAAAATTCCCTGGTGATTCCCAAGATGGTTACTGGGTTTGGGAAGCCCTTATAAGGTATTAATGTTTGACAACCCTCCAACCTCTCTTCAAATCTATTTATTTATTTATTTTGGGTCTGGTCGTGGGGCCTGAACTCTGGCCTGAGTGCTGTCCCTCAGCTCTTCAGCTCAAGGCTAGTGCTCTACCACTTGAGCCACAACATCACTTCGGCTTTTTTCTTTTTACTTATGTGGTGCTGAGGAATCGAACCCAGGGCCTCATGCATGCAAGGCAAGCGCTCTACCACTGAGCCACCTTCCCAGCCCTATTTTTTATTTTTATTTATTTATTTATTTTTGGGGGTCCGGTCGTGGGGCCTGAACTCTGGGCCTGAGTGCTGTCCCTCAGCTCTTCAGCTCAAGGCTAGCACTCTACCACTTGAGCCACAGCGCCACTTCCAGCTTTTTTCTGCTTATGTGTTGCTGAGGAATCGAACCCAAGGCCTCAGGCATGCGAGGCAAGCACTCTACCACTGAGCCACCTTCCCAGCCCCTTCAAATCAAATATTAACCGCAGATTCCAATGTGAATCTAAGTGACAGGTAAAGGGACCACCAATGCCCATCAGGGCAGGAAAAGGAAAAGGTGGACAGGGTCTTTCCAGAGCCTGGGAGCTGCTCCTTTAAGAGAAATGTCAGGGGCGCGGCTTGAGCGACGACGAGGGCGGGACAATATCCTAGGAGGCGGGGCCTGAGCCACGCTAGGAACTAGCCCGGTGGAATAACTGCGGCTGCGCACAGCGTGGCGGCTGACTGCAAGGGGGGCGGGACCGTAACTGCCGCCGTCCAATCGGGGTCCGCGCCGCGGGGGCGCTGAGGCTCGAACCCTCCGCCGCGCCTTTACACCGGGGATCCGGGCGTTGCTGAGGCGGCTTGGGTCTGGGCTTGCACATTTTGCACGCCTTGGGACCGCAGGCCAGCGGTGGAGACTTGGCGGGTGGTGGTGGTAGGGGAGGGGGGGGACCCGAAGTTGGGGTCCCACCTCTGCGGAGGGGCGGTGCTCCGCCTGGTCGGTGGCCGAGCCCGCCGGATCTTCCCGGCCTGGGCCCGATGGATCCTCCCGGCCTTGGCCCGGTGTCGGCGGCGCGGGCGGCGCTCTGCGCTCGCGCCCCGGGGAACGGACGGAGTCAGGTACTGCAGGGTCACCCTCGTGGCCCGTCTGCGGCCCACCCTCTAGCTGGGGTCCCGGGGAGCCTCAGGCACAGTTTTGCATTGTAAACTCCGAAGGAGGAGGGAGAGAAAGGGGTTTTCCAAACCCAGAAATGCGGGGCGGTGGGGACCCCCGAGTCAGCTGGGATCAGGAAGAGCCCGTGGACGGCAGGCTGAGGAGCTGGCCTGGTTTTTGTTGTTGTTGCTGTTGTGCATTTGTTGGTGCTGTGGGTGGGCCTTGAACTCGGGGCCTGGACGCTGGGCTAGCGCTCTACCGCTTCTTGGGTCACAGCTGGCACTTCTGGTTTTTTCGGTGGATCCTTAGAGGTTAAGAGTCTCATGGGCTTTTCCTGCCCTGGACATGGCTTCCAACGTTGATCCTCAGATCGCAGCTTCCTGAGTAGTTAGGATTATGGCCATGCCACCCGTGCCCAGCGGGAGCTACTGTTGATGAGGGCGCTGGGAGCCATGGAAGGTTAGGTTTTTGTTTTGGGCTGGTCCTGGGGCTTGAATTCAGGGCCTAGGTGCCATCCCTGAGCCTCTTTTTTTTTTTTTCCTCAAGGCTAGTAGTGCTCTGACAGTTGAGCCACAGCACCCCTTGTGGCATTTTCTGAGTGGCTTTTTTAAGAGATAAGAGTCCCAGGGACTTTCCTGCCCTGTCTAGCTTTAAACCACATCCTCAGATCTCAGCCTCCTGAATAGCTAGGATGACAGGCCTGAGCCACCGGCGCCCTGCCACTTGCCTATTTCTTGTTGCTGGGGACTCACATAGAGGTCCCCTGGAACATGAGGAAAGAACAGGGCTTGGTGTCTTCTTGGGGACCTGGGAGAAGACTGAGGGAAGGGGGGGCGGTCCCTTGGACAGAGGCTCATCAGGAAATCTACTGTCCTCACCCAGCTGGGCCTTGTGAGCTTTGAGGACGTGATTCTGCACTTTTCACCAGAGGAATGGGAGCTGCTTGATGAAGCCCAGAAGCTCCTGTACTGTGACGTGATGTTGGAGAATTTTGCACTCCTAGCTTCACTGGGTAAGCCTGGCACGCCCACCCCGCTATTCCCTGAGCTCATGGCTGCCTGTCCTTCTGTTGGCCCAAAGGACATCTCTGGCCCTTTGCATAGCCATTATATTACTCCTGCCTGGCTTTTTCCCTAGTTTGGGTCTAGGTCTCAGGGTGGCACTGTGCACTGTGCTTTCTCTCCCTGCCCAGCCTCCTGCTTGTTGCCCAAAATACTACATTCTGTCTTTGGGGGACCATCCCAGTCCTTAATTCTCCCGCCTGTCCCCTGATAGTGTTTCCCATTCCATTCCTTTTTGCTTGCTGACACGTTCTGTGCTGGACATTCTAGAACCTGCTGTGGTTTCTCCCTGCTGTGACGGTTGGGATGATCCTGCCATGCCCCCTACTCCTGGATCTTCCTTTTTTTCCTTTTCCTTTCCTTTTCTTTTTTTTTGGGGGGGGGAGTGCCAATCCTGGGGCTTAAATTCTGGGTTAGGCACTGTCCCTGAGCTCCTTTTTGCTCAAGGCTAACACTCTACCACTTGAGCCACAGTGCCACTTCCAGCTTTTTTTTTTTTTTTTTTTTTGTATGTGTATGTGGTACTGAGGAATTGAACCCAGGGCTTCGTGCATGCTAGGCAAGCACTCTACCACTGAGCCACATTCCCTGCCCTACTTCTGGCTTTTTGTTGGTTCAATGGAGATAAGAGTCTCATGGACTTTCCTGCCTTGGCTGGTTTTTTTTTTTTTTCTTTGTCAGTCATGAGCCTTGAACTCTAGGCTTGGGCACTGTCTCTGTGCTCTTCAGCTCAAGCTAGCCCCCTATCACTTGAGTCAAAGCACAACTTCCAGTTTTCTGGTGGTTAGTTGGAGATAAGAGTCTCACAGATGTTCCTTCCTAGGTTGGCTTTGAAACATGATCCTCCAGATCTCAGCCTCCTGAGTAGGTGGAATGACAGTCGTGAGCCACCAGCACCTGGCTAGATCTTGGCTTTTGTAATACTGACTTTCCCTCTGGATATGTTGTGGGTTATCTCCCTATGCCTGGTGACTTGGAGACTGACGGGCTCCATCTTTCTCTCAGGACTTACAGCTTTCCGATCTCATGTAGTTGCTCGTTTGGAAATGGAGAACAAGCCATGGATCCCTGACAGAGGGGCAATGACTTCAGCCATGGCTAGAGGGGTTTGTGGTACTGGTAAGTAAGGGGGATTGGGGGGGGGATGATGTCACCTAGTAGGGTTGGGAGTTGGTGACATCACAAAGTAGGGATGGGGAGGAAGTGATGTCACTAAGTTGGGTATAGAAGGAAATAACATCTTTAAGTGGAGTCTGGGAGGCGATGATGTCACTGATTGGGGGTTGATGAGTGACGTCACTCCTATATTCAGCATCTTCCCTAATTCATAATGGTTTGGAGCCACAGCTAAGGGCTGTCCCTCATTTTTTCCTTTCCTTCCCCATCCTTGAAAAACTATGTATGGGGCTGGGAAGGGCCTCAGTGGTAGAGTGCTTGCTTTGCATCCATGAAGCCCTGGGTTCGATTCCTCGGCACCACATAAGCAGAAAAAGCCAGAGGTGACGCTGTGGCTCAAGTGGTAGAGCGCTAGCCTGGAGCTGAACAGCTGAGGGATAGCGCCCAGGCCCAGAGTTCAGGCCCCACAACCGACCAAAAAACAAAACAAAACTATGTATGGTTGTTTTTGTTTCTTTGTTCATTTTTGAGACAGACTCTTTCTTTTTTTTTGGTCCAGTCTTGAGCCTGAACTCTGGGCCTGGGTGCTGTCCCTCAGCTCTTCAGCTCAAGGCTAGTGCTCTACCACTTGAGACACAGCGCCACTTCTGGCTTTTTGCTTATGTGGTGCCGAGGAATCGAACCCAGGGCCTCAAACATGCAAGGCAAGCGCTCTACCACTGAGCAACCTTCCCAGCCCTTGACTCTTTTTTTTGTTGTTGTTGGTCTTGGGGCCTGAACTCTGGGCCTGGGCGCTGTCCCTCAGCTCTTCAGCTCAAGGCTAACACTCTACCACTTGAGCCATAGCGCCACTTCCGGCTCTTTTTTTTTTTCTTCTGCTTATATGGTTCTGAGGAATCCAACCCAGGGCCTCATGTGTATAAGTCAAATACTCTACCACTGAGCTACCTTCCCAGCCCCAAGAGACAGACTCTTTTTTTTTTTTTTTTGGTCGGTCGTGGGGCTTGAACTCTGGGCCTGGACGCTGTCCCTCAGTTCTTCAACTCAAGGCGAGCGCTCTACTACTTGAGCTACAGCGCCACTTCCAGTTTTCTGGTAGTTTATTGGAGATAGGAGTCTCACGGTCTCTCCTGCCCGGGCTGGCTTTGAACCTCGATCCTCAGATCTCAGCCTCCTGAGTAGCTAGGATTACAGGCGTGAGCCACCAGTGCCCGGCCAGAGACAGACTCTTATAATGTATCCCAATCTGGTCTCAGACTTGTGATTCTTCTCTACCAAGTGCTGGGCTTACTGGCATGTGCTACCATGCCAAATTGGTGATAAGGATTGCATAGATTCTCATGCCCGAGCTGGCTTTGAACCCCAATTCTCAGACTTCTCAGCCTCTTGAGTAGCCAGGATTACAAGCATGAGCCACTGGTGCCCAACTTCTCCCATTAGTTTTGCCATGGTGCCAGGCACATTAGTTCAGAGCAGGCCTGAGCCCTCTCGTAGATCATGAGGTCACATAGGCCTGCGTCATGGGGCTCTTGTCTTTCCGTTAACGTTTGTGTAAACTTCACCATCCTTCATCTGCTTGCAGATTTTTGCCAGGGCACGGAGGGTAGGCAGCATTTTTCTGGATACAGCGTTCCTGGTGAAGGAGCCTCACAGCAGAGGAGTCCCAAGATGGCTCTGTGTATCCGAAAGGCCTACCTGTGTGGCCTGACCCTGAAAGACACTTTCCACCTGGGCCATTACCAGGCCACACTTCCCAATCAGAAGCCGATGAAGGTTGGGGTGAATAACACAGGATTGGAGCTCCATGCATGCCCTCCCCTAGGGCAGGGTGCCCAGCCGAATCCAGCCACATGTGTGAGAGGGGAGGAGAGCAGGGCCTTCCTCATGAAGCCAGACACAGGTTCCCCATCAGAAAAGCCATTCGCATGCAGGAAGATCAGAGGGGACTTCATGGCGGATTTCATGGCTACCACAGGTTTTCTGGCACCTCAGATCACTCCCTGGGCCAAGGAGGGCCTAGCACGAGCTCCCGCCATACAGATGCATGACCAGATCAGTGAGTTTGGGGACACTCTCAGTGACAAATCTACCCCCATTCAGGACATGAGAGTCCACACCCAAGAAAGGCCATGGGAGTGGATCAAGTCTGGACTATTCTTGCCCCCTGCCACCAGCAGTCTCCCACCCCAGAACATTGACGGTAGAGCGCCCCCTTCCGATGGCCGCCAGTACGGAAGCTCCTTCTCCCAGCCCTCCAGCCTCATTCATCTGGACATGGTTTCCAGCAGTGAAAACACTAGTGAATGGAGCACCTATGGGAAATCTTTCAGCTGGAACTCCAGCCTCACGAACCCTCAGAAAGTCCACAGCAGAGAAGCCCCTTCTGAGTGCCCCGATCGCGGGGAGTTCTTTAGCCATCTTGATCTCATTCCCCACCAGCAAGTTCCTAGCAGTGAGCAGCCGCCGCTGCCTTTTGCATGCGGGGAATGCGGGATGTTCTTCAGCCAGCGAGGTGCCCTCAGGAAACACCAGAAAATCCACACGGGGACCCGGACTTTCGGGTGCAGTGAGTGTGGCAAGGTGTTCACGCGGAGCTCGGATCTCATGAAACACCACCGTGTGCACACCGGAGAGCGGCCCTACGAGTGCAGCGAGTGTGGGAAATTCTTCAGCCAGACTTCCAGCCTCAACAGCCACCGGCGGCTTCACACCGGAGAAAAGCCCTTTCAGTGCAACGAGTGCGGCAAGTTCTTCAACCAGAGCTCCAGCCTGCACAATCACCGGAGGCTGCACAGCGAGGAGCGGCCGTACCGGTGCGGGGAGTGCGGGAAGACCTTCAGGCAGATGTCCAACCTCCGGCAACACCAGAAAATCCACAAGCCCGACAAGCCTTACCATTGCAAGGAGTGCGGCAAGGCCTTCAGCCAGCTGCCTACTATGATTCGGCACCAGAAAATCCACACCAGAGAAAGATTGGCAGCGGGGGCGCTGCCTTCTAGTTCAACACAAGCCCCGCCTCCACCCCCACCCCCACCCCCACCCCCACCCCCACCCCTGGGGAGCTCTGAGACTGGCCTTGATAAGGAAATGGCCAGCCAGATGTTGAACCTTGCTCTTCCAAGTATTCCCAGTGGGACAATGCCCAATGACTGTTAGAAATGTCGGGAGCTTTTGAGAACCTAAGATGCATTGTGTGTGTGTGTGTATGTGTGTGTCTGTCTGTCTGTCTGTCTGTCTCTCTGTCTCTCTCTCTCTCTCTTTCTCCTGGGGCTTGAACTTGGGACCTGAGCACTGTCCCTGAGCTTTTTCTTTTGCACAAGGCTAGCACTCTTTACCACTTGAGCCACAGTGCCACTTCTGGCTTTTTGGTGGTTTGTTGGAGATAAGAGTCTCACGGACTTCCCTGCCCTAGGCTTGCTTTGAGCCATGATTCTCAGAGCTCACCTTCTCTGAGTAGCTAGGATGACAGCTGTAAGCCACCAAGCGCCTGGCTATAATTTGCCTCTTCTGACCATTGTTGTTTTTTTTGTTGTTGTTGATGTTGTTGTTGTTGTTGGTCTTGGGGCTTGAACTCTGGGCCTGGATCCTGTCTCTGAGCTCTTCAGCTCAAGGCTAGCACTCTACCACTTTGAGCCACAGCATCACTTCCAGTTTTCTGGTGGCTCATTGGAGATAAGAGTCTCACAGACTTTTCTGCCTGGGCTGGCTTTGAACTGTGATCCTCAGATCTCAGCCTCCTGAGTAGCTAGGATGACAGGTGTATAGCACCAGTGCCCAGTAGGGGTTTGGTTTTTTTTCTGCCAGTCCTGGGGCTTGGGCACTATCCCTGAGCTGCTTTTGCTCAAGGCTAGCACTCTACCACTTGAGCCACAGCACCACTTCCAGCTTTTTCTGTATATGTGATACTGAGGAATGGAACCGAGGACTTCATGCATAGTAGGCAAACACTCTACCACTAAGCCACATTCCCAACTCAGTGACCATAGATTTTATTAGAGTTTTGTCACTGCAGTTGACAGAAGCCATTCAGCTGTGCCTGCTGACAGGCCTGGGCAGTGTCGCCCCGTCCCTGGTATTTGGGAAAGGCAGACCTCTTTCCTGCCTTGTGAGCTCCTGAAGGAAATCATGGATTGCTTGAGGCTATGCAACTCGCTCCCCTGTGGCTGGTTTATCTGTGGAAATAACCCTGCTCTGACCTGAAACCTGACTGGGATCTGCTGGCAGATTGCAGAGAAGGTTTTCCCTCTTTCAAGCACATTATTGGGCTAATGAGTTGCTTGTGATTTATCCACCTTCCAATCACGTGACTTCACTGCCTCTTTCGTACGGCATGCCGAGTAAAACAGCCACCTCTTCTTTTTTTTTTTGGTTTCAGTCCTGGGGCTTAAATTCAAGGCCTTGGTGCTGTCCCTAGCATTCTTTTTCTCCTTGCTAGTGCTCTACTGCTTGAGCCACAGTGCTACTTCCAGCTTTTTTTTTTTTTTTGGAATGGTTTATTTATTTTTTTGGTTGGTCGTGGGGCTTGAACTTGGCCTGGGCACTGTCCCTGAGTTCTTCAGCTCAAGGCTAGTGCTCTACCACTTGAGCCACATTTGTCACTTCCAGTTGTCTGAGTGGTTTCTTGAAGATAAGAGTCTTAAGGACTTTTCCTGCCCAGGCTGGCCTCAAACCACGATTCTCAGATCTCAGTCTCCTAAGCAGTTAGGATTACAGGTGTGAGCCAACAGCACCTGGTGATAATTTCCTCCTTTCTTTCCTTTTTCCCTCCCTCCCTCCCTCCCTCCCTCCCTCCCTCCCTCCCTTCCTTCCTTCCTTCCTTCCTTCCTTCCTTCCTTCCTTCCTTCCTTCCTATCTTTTTTTTTGGCAGTCCTGGGGCTCAAACTCATGGTCTGGGCACTGTCCCTGAACAACGTTTTTGCTCAAGGCTAGCACTCTACCACTTGAGCCACAGCACCACTTCCGGCTTTTTCTGTGTATGTGGTGCTGAACAATCGAACCCAGGGCTTCGTGCATGCTAGGCCAGCGCTCTTGCACGAAGCCACATTCCTAGTCTGCCCAGCTGCCTGCCCTCTTTCCTCCCACTTTCCCTCCTCCCTCCTTTCCTCTTTCTCTCCCTCCCTTCTTTTCATTTTTATGAAGCTGTATTTGACATGCAATAACAGTATATGTGGGAGCATTCAATTTGATAACTTTGGAAATATGCACATACTCAGGGAGTCAACTGTGTCCATGCGCACAACCCTTAAGACGACTTCACAACTTCATGCCGGGTTCTGGTGGCTCACACCTGTCATCCCAGCTACTCAGGAGGCTGAGATCTGAGAATCATGGTTCAAAGCCATCCTGGGGGGGCTGGGAAGGTGGCTCAGTGGTAGAGTGCTTGTCTTGCATGCATGAGGCCCTGGGTTCAACTTCTCAGCACCACATAAGCAAAAAGAAAAAAGCCAGAAGTGGTGCTGTGGCTCAAGTGGTAGAGCGCTAGCCTTGAGCTGAAGAGCTGAGGAACAGCGCCCAGGCCCAGAGTTCAGGCCCCATGACCGGACCCAAAAAAAAAAAAGCCATCCTGGGCAGGGAAGTTTGTGAGACTCATCTCTAATTAGTTGTCATCAGAAAGATGGAAGTGGAGCTGTGGTTCAAGTGGTAGAGGGCTAACTTGGGAGGAAAAAGCTAAGGGAAAGACCCAGGCTCTGAGTTCAAGGATCAATGCCTGCTAAAAACAAAAAACAAGCTACCTCATGCCCCTTATTAATCCTTCCGTGCCTTCCTCAGGCTTCCCTAGAAACCAATAAGCACACCCCAGGGAAGCCATTGGTTTAAGTATTTTTCACTGTGGATTTATTTGCCTTCCTTAGAATTGTATACAATTGGAGTAATAAGGTACTTAATCCCCCCCCCCTTTTTTTTTGGTGTTGTGTGTGTGTGTTTGTGTGTGTTGCACACACGCACACACATGAGCACCAATCCTGGGCTTGAATTCAGGACCCAGGCGCTGTCCCTGAGCTCTTTTGCTCAAGCTAGTGCTTACCACTCTGAGCCACAGCTCCACTTCTGGTCTTCTGCTGGTTCATTGGAGAGTCTCATGGGGGAGTGGCACTCAGAACACTTAGGCCCTGAGTTCAAGCCCCAGGACTGACCAAAAAAAAAAAAAAAGTCTCCTGGACTTCCTGTCCTGACTGGCTTTGAATGACGATCCTCAGATCTCAGCCTTTGGAGTAGCTAGGGTGACCAGCGTGAGCCACCGCTGCCCAGCTGACCCGGTTTATTTTGTATGTAAATACTTTTTAATTGTCTTTTTTGTTGTTGTTGTTTCATTTACATTAACATTTTTAGGTTAGTTCAGATTTCAACCAGAGTATGTTTATGTGTGAAAGCCGTGGTTATCTCGAGAATCTCCGTGCTGTGTGTTTGTGTGGTTCATTCCTTTTTGGGCTCAGTATGTCAGGATTTCAAGTCTGTATAGAATTCCATTGCTTATTCGAAGGCTTGTTGGTTTATTCAGTGGACACAAGTGGCTCCCTCTGGTTATTAGGGCTAATAGGGGTAAGAAGGGTAATAGCTCTAAAAATTAGTGTATCTTTCTCCATCGTTTTTGTTTGTTTTTTTTGGTGCTCATTCTGGGCCTTGAACTCAGGGCCTGAGCACTGAACCTGAGTTCTTTTGCCCGAGGCTAGCGCTCTACCACTTGGAAGCATAGCTCTACTTCTGGTTTTCTGGTGGTTTATTGGAGAGAAGAGTCTCATGGACTTTCCTGCTTGGGCTGGCTTCAAATGGTGATCCTCATCTCTCAACCTCCTGATTAGCTTGGATTCCAGGCGAGAGCCACCAGTGCCTGGCCATTTTCAGCTTTTTACTGTTTAATTGGAGAGGCTCACAGACTTTCCTGTTCAGTCTGGCTTTCAGGCACAATGGCAATTCTCAGATCCCAGTTTCCTGAGGACAGGTGTGAATCACCTGCATCCTGCTCAGGCCTTATTTTTAATTAAAATTTTTATTTTTATTTTGTTAGTCATGGGGCTTGAATACTGGGCCTGGGTGCTGTCCCTGAGCTCCTCAGCTCAAGGCTAGCCAGAGTACCACTTCCAGTTTTCTGGTGGTTATTTGGAGATGAGTCTCATGGACTTCCCTGCCCAGGCTGGCTTTGAACCATGATCCTCAGATCTCAGCTCCTAAGTAGCTAGGATAACAGGCGTGAGCCACTGGCTTCTGGGTCAGGCCTTATTTTTTAATGTAAATTTTATAACTAGCAACCCTCCCCTCCCCCTTGGCACTGTTTATACTCTTGCCCCCTAAGTTTGGTACATTGTTCCCCTTTTATTTCATCTCTTGATGTTTTATAATCTCATTTGTGATTTCTCTTATTAAATGTTTAGTATTTGGTTTAATTTTCATAAATTTTTGAATTTTCCAGATTTTTTTTTTCTCAACCTGGGGCTTGAACTTAGGGCCTGAACATTGTACCTTAGCTATTTTGCTAAAGGCTTGTGCTCTAGTATTTGGGCTACACCTCCACTTCTGGCTTTTTGGCGGTTCATCGGAAATAAGAGTCTCATGGACTTTCCTGCCCAGGTTAGCTTTGAACCGTGATCTTCAGATCTCAGCCTCCTCAGTAGCTAGGATTACAGGTGTGAGCCACCAGCACCTAGCTCTGTTTATCTCTTACGGAATGGACCACATTCCCCTATAAATCTTACATTTAAATCCTAATTACAAGACCTTGGAATGTAGGAATCATCTACTAGCAATTTGTACAGTGTTTGGGCTTAGGGCTGTAGGTCATTGGTTGTGTTTGCCTTTAATGTAGGGTTTCTGTAGCAAAGAGAAACAAAATGAAAATTGTTATTGTTTTTGGTTATCATTTTTTTTTGTTTTGTTTTGCTGGTCCTGGGGCTTGAACTCTGGGCCTGGACACTGTCCCTGAGCTTCTTTTGCTCAAGGCAAGCACTCTTTGACTTGAGCCACAGCGCCACTTCCAGCTTTTTTGAGTCATTTATTGGAGATAAGAGTCTCATGGACTTTCCTGCCTGGACTGGCTTCGAACTGTGACCCTCAGATCTTCACCTTCTGAGTAGCTAGGATTATGGTCTGCACCACCAATGCCTAGCTTTAAGTCATTCTTTGGGACTGAGCTCCTTCACTAGGCACCAGCAGATAATACCAAACCAAAATGGACTGTTATCATGCTAAGTGCTACATAGTCAAAGTGGAGCTACAAAGAAACAGATGAATCCAAAAAAGGACCCATTTCTCCCTGGAAATAGAAGATTCCAGACTACCTCCATCATCATAATTCAGAAATCCCCTTTGGTTTCAGTCTTGTAACAATAATAACTGCAGTCATGTGATGTCACTCCATCAAGTGTTTTCTAACTGTTGTATTTTCTACTGTTCCATTTTCCAAAATCTATGCTCTTAACTAGTGGGAGCTCTCATTCTGTTTTGTAGAATGGAGTTTTTCCTGTTTTTTTGTTTTTTGGGGGGCTGGTCCTGGAGCTTCTCTGTCCCTGACCTTTGTGCTCAAGCTAGCGCTCTAACCACTAAAGCCACAGCACTACTTTCACCTTTTTCTGAGTAGTTTATTGGAGAAAAGAGTCACAACTTTTCTGCCTGGGCTGGCTTCAAACCATGATCCTCAGATCTCAACCTCCTGATTGGCTAGGATTATAGACATGAGTCATCATGCCTGGCTTTCCCTGATTTTTGAATCATAAATAAAATTCAACTGAGTTTCTTGACATAGTTTGTTGTAGTTTTGTCTTTGACAATTGTGACTGTCAAGAAAAGGACCGGATGGACATTCTTAGAGCATTATGCTTCTTTGAAGAATGCTGGACAGTATTACTGACCCCTTTGGAAGTCTCCTTGTTTCCTGTTCTCAGATCCAACATTACTCTTTGGTTCCTGAGCCCCTCTTCCCATGGTTTTGGCTTTTACGGGTCTGGGTCTGTGTGGGAGCATATGATATATGGTTTGGGTTGGGTTGGGTTGGGTTTTTTTTGGTCATGGGGCCTGAACTCTGGGCCTGGGCGCTGTCCCTCAGCTCTTCAGCTCAATGCTATTGCTCTACTACTTGAGCCACAGCACCATTTCTGGCTTTTTCTGCTTATGTGGTGCTAAGGAATCAAACCCAGGGCCTCATGCATACAAGGCTACCACTCTACCACTGAGCCACCTTCCCAGCCCTGATTCTGGGGTTTGAATCACTGGTAAGATCAGAAATCATTGCAGAAACAGGATTGGGTCCTTCATGGACCAAGAGGGAGGTTACAGGA